CATTGTCCTTTCAGAGTGCCAGGGCAAATATATCTTTCTATTTTGGTATTGTCAAGAGGTAAGGTTTGTAGGGAAAGGTAATATCTTTTCTTAGAGCAACTGATAGACCTGGGAAAAAAGGGACTTATTTTTGGGCATAGAAGCCCTGTCTGGCTCTTTTGTTTATAAATTACCCTTCTATTCTCCTGGAGACCTTCCTGTCTCTACACTGAACTCTTTTAACTCTAGCATATATACTCAAAAAGCACGCTCATCATTTATCTTTACTGCTACTGCAATCTTCTCGTCACCTCTGCTTTCTTTCCCTTTTCAGCTACTTACTCTTCTCTGTTTTGCAATCTTCTCAAGTGGCATCTGTAGCTGCTATTTTATTACTTGTGTATGCCTTTTTCTAATTCTCCATTATTTGGGGCATATCCTTTGTTATCTGTTAGTCTTTCCTGTGCCCTGGGGATATTTATCGCTAATTGATTCACATAAATGGGAAGGTAAACATTCATTTCTCTTAGAATACATATTTTACTTGCAGTGGGACAATCCCTAGAGATTTTATTCTTTCTTTCTTTCCTTTGTGATGTTACGTATAGCTGGTTGGAGCTAAAATGAAATAAAGTACACCTCTGGAAAGGTCTGCAGTGCGCTGAGCAGCATATTCACAATTTTTGTTGCCACCTTTGAGACTGACTGACTACACTGGGAGATGTGGTGTTCCTCTGGGGTCAGGGTTGGGACTGGTGCCGTTTAACATCCTTGTTGGGGACATGGACAGTGGGATTGAGGCACCCTCAGCAAGTTCCCTGATGACACCGAGCTGTGTGGTGCAGTCACACACTGGAGGGAAGGGATGTGCCATCCAGAGGGACCTGGACAGGCTGGAGAGGTGGGACCATGTGAACCTCATGGAGTTCAACAAGGCCAAGTGCAAGGTCCTGCCCATGGGTCGGGGCAATCCCCAGCACAGATACAGGCTGGGTGAGGAGTGGATGGAGAGCAGCTCTGAGGAGGACTTGGGGTGTTAGTGGGTGGAAAACTGACTGTGAGCCAGCAATGTGTGCTGGCAGCCCAGAAAGCCCCCCATGTGCTGGGCTGCACCCAGAGCAGGGTGGGTAGCAGGGCTAGGGGGGGATTGTCCCCCTCTGCTCAGCTCTGGTGAGACCCCCCTGCAGTGCTGGGTCCAGCTCTGGGGGCACCAACATCAGAAGGACATGGACCTCCAGAGGAGGCCACGGAGATGCTCGGGGGGCTGGAGCCCCCCCCTGTGAGGACAGGCTGAGAGAGTTGGGGGGTTCAGCTGGAGAAGAGAAGGCTCCGGGGAGACCTTAGAGCGGCTTCCCAGGGCTGAAAGGGGCTGCAGGGAAGGGGGGAGGGACTCTTGGTCAGAGGAGGTTTAGTGATAGAATGAGGGGTAGCAGTTTTAAACTGAAAGAGGGGAGATTTAGATTAGATAGAAGAAATTCTTCCCTGTGAGGGGGGTGAGGCCCTGGCACAGGCTGCCCAGAGCAGCTGTGGCTGCCCCCTCCCTGGAAGGGTTCAAGGCCAGGTTGGACGGGGCTTGGGGCAACCTGGGCGAGTGGAAGGTGTCCCTGCCCGTGGCAGGGGGGTGGGACTGGATGGGCTTTAAGGTCCCTTCCAACACAAACCATTCTGTGATTCTATGAAACAATTTCCACAGAAGTCAGTGTTAGATGTACCTCCACCTTCCTGCAGAAGTATCCCCTGTAAGCCCTTAAAAGGGACAGATGGATTGACTGAGGCTTGGGGAGGAGGGAGGCAATTGGTTTTCTTCAACATTTCCATTAGCAACCTAGATGATGGAGTAGATAGTACGCTTATTAAATTTACAGATGGCACCAATCTAGGAGGGACTGCAAATATCTTGGACAACAGGATGAGAATTCAAATGAGTGCAACAAATTGCAGAAATGGTTTGTGAAAGAAAAAAAAAAAGTCATTAAATTAGAGACAAGTGCACGGCACAAAACTTGGGTTAGAATAATCAGTGCACAGAGGATGAGGAAGAGGCAGTGGTTCTGCAGAAAGGGAACTTATGAGTGGAGGAAAGTAAAGACTGGACCAGAAGATCATCAAGTCTCAGTGTCATGTAGGTGGGAAGAAAAGGCAAATCTAGGAAGGACGTCAAATAACAGACTCTTTTTACAGCAGAAATAATGCAGGTTAGGTATTAGAAAGGCTCTTTGATGCAGAGGATGCTAAGGACGAGCATCTCCCAGGGGTGAGACATGATACAGCTGTGGGGCAGGAGGATGAAGCAGCATCTCCTCAAGATCCTTGAGCCCTGTTGCCTCATGGACATGTTTCTCACCCTTGTGCCCCACACTTCCACTGCAGGAGACCTGAGGTGTGGAGACACCAACTGCTAATTTCAGGTCACAGGGGAGCTGTGCACAGCCCACTCACACAGTGACAGCTCCCCGTCTCCCCCTGCTCCCGGCACACTCTCTGCACTGCTGCCCTGGGCTGTGACCCTAGCTAAGATTTTGCTCTAGGATGTGAGCATCAGTTTGTCTTGGTAATGTATGGAGCAGTCTGTAGGTAGGCCAGGAAAGCAGGCTTTTCTATTTTAATTTTTTTTCTCACTTCACTAGACGCAACACTTCTGCTAAGAGGAGGATATGGGTTTAACTATGCTGTTGGCCTTGAGGCTTTAGGTATCAAGGAGAGCTTATTTCAAAGATCAAACTGAATGCTGATTCGAGGGAGTAGCTCATCTCTTTGGAGTGCTCCAGAAGGAAAAGGGAACATTGTCAGTTCAATCTACTGTGGAATTTATAGTATTAATGATCTGAAGAACACTTTAGGGATTTCTGTCAGATGTCTATTTTAATTTAAACTCTTGGGTGTTTAACTACCCAAAATATTGAGTTCTAGTCATTATAAAAACTAATAACTGGCTTATTTTGCTGCTAATTCAGAAACTGAGGTTAATTATCTATAGTGAAGGGATATGGTACTAATCTAAAGTCTACCTGAATAAGACACTGTGGTTAATTGATTCCCCATGAAATGACAAAAAATTCCTTCAGAGGGAGAAGATGTTTAGTATTCTGGGCTTTCTTGAAAGCACTAGCTTTTGCTTCTCGTGAAAGGATTTTGTTTGGCTTTATCATCTGTACCTTATCCTTTTCTTATTGTTATTACTGTTTTATATTTAGAAAAAAAAAAAAAAAAAAGGAAGATTATGAATTTTCCATGTGAGAGCCCATCTGCTGCAACCCTTTAATACCCAATACACCTTGTACCCCAGGTGCGTACAACAATGTATTACCCCACTGAAGTGGGAGAGAATGGTTTGATGTCCCATTCACAGGCATGGGATTGTGCCTATGAACTTGGCATCAGTGTTTGATCCAGACACATGGGTGCGTCAGCAGAGCTGCATGCTTGTGGCTGAGCACAGCCAGGATTTGGCCAAGGTGACTTTTCCAAAATCACAGAGGACGTTAATCTCAGAGCTGAAATTGCTTCCCTGCTCTCTGTCCTGTGTCCTCTCTGCTCTGCCATTCCTTTTCTTAAGAGCTCTGAATCTGCCCACTAGTTTATTTAATAAAAATTACTTTCTAAGCCAACTGCAAGCAGCTAAAAAAATTAATTTAAACTTCCCCTAAAGTGTATTTGTCAATGTCCACTGTTGTAATTCATTACGTTGTATCCTAGCATACCCTGAACATGGCAGTGTCAGAACTCTGATGATGTAGTGCAGTCTCCATGTATAATATATCATGAGAACAGTTTCAACTTGGATGATATATGAAGCCAGCCTAGGAGGATTTTGAAAATAGACCTAAATTTCAAGAATTTTTTTGTGTAACTTTGAGTGGTTGAAGGCTTCACCTGAAGCTTTTACTGAATATCTAAATATTTTTTCCCTTGCCAAGCCAAGAGTTAGCAATGTCAATTAACCTGCTGGGGCTTTGTAGGTTGGCTGACTAAATTGCAAAGCCTGCGTGTGCATCACATCTATTTACCTAACTTATTTTACAATACTGCCTTGACCTGGTTGTGTTTAAAACAAAATATTAAATGTGATTGCAGTCTAAATGGGACAACATGCAGTTCAGATGAGCTTGTGAATGATTATGTGTGTAGGTGTGATGAGCATGGCTGCCTTTTACTGCATGGGATCAAACCCTCCCATCTGAATATTGTGCTTCTGAGTAGAAGGCATCAGGCTTTTCTAATAAAAAGAACTATTTTGTAAAGAATGTGTTGGGTGGTGTAGCTGGATGTAACTGAACACTGAGGGCAGGAAATCAAGAAAGAGCTGAGGACAAAAGCTAGAATGTGTAAACCAAGAGCAGATAAATAGGAGTGCAAAAACAGGGAGGAAGAAGTGGGAAAGAAAATGGAAACAACCATTGGTATTTGTATGGGCAAATAGCTTGCTACAAGAGCAGGTCATGACTTTTGCTTGAAATTGTTTTTCAGTCCAAACTTTAGAAAATAAAAGACAAACATGAGCAGAGAGCATCTGCCTCCTTTTCCCTTCCACTTCATATAAAAATGCAACTCCTCTCCCTCTCCTCTCTCTCCCTCTCTCTCTCTCCTCTCCCCATCTCTTTCTTTTTTTTTTTTCTTTCTGCTCTTTTTTGGCAAAGAAGCTGCATATTCCAAGCAGATCTCTTTTTACAAGAGTTGGGGTCAGAGTGAGCTTGTGCAGTGGTGTAAGGTGAGCATGACATGGGCTTTGCAAAGCCGTGCTGTGACCCATCGATAGGAAGCAATAGGATGCAATTCCTGTGCTTTTCCAAGTAACTACCTTCGATTGTCAGGGCTGTGGCAGAGAAAAAAATATCCGAATGTGTGAGGGAGCAAAGTGTTATCTAACAGTAGTAAGCATTTAGACCAACTCAATGTTCGAACTTAATTACCAGGAAAATGCTGTACATTATGAAGATTTAAATCATTTAACAAGCCTTGTGTGAGTCTTAATGCTTTTTTATTACTGCCTTTTTCATATGCATTTTATTTGACAGGACAAAAGCAATAGTTGGCATAGACGGTGCCAGTACAGGGCTCATCCCTTGTTTTGCAGACAGGGTATAGTTTTCATTAGGAGGAAAATGATGAAGTAGTTTGCTCTATTGATTGCTATATCTGGGGGAAGGGAAGACAGAAGCACTTTGTAGCCAGCCTGTTTCTGTACGAACTTCAGCAGGGTTCAAAGTGGGGAGGATGCTCTGCACCTAAAGAGTTGGCCCTGGTGTAGTAACTCCTGACATGCATTGAAGTTAGGAGCTGCTTGTGGTGATTTACATTTAGATGTCATGCTACATCTGCACCTGAAGAAACAGCTGTAAGGGGGAAAGAAAGGGGAAATATTTTAGGCAGAAAGGGCAAATTGAACAAAGGGGTAAATGCTGGACTACTGCTTGTTCACCCCTTGTCTAAACTTCTCCTCTTATTAGGGCCATGGTTTGATGAAAAAGTAAATCTGACTTTAGGACCTTAAATCCCCAATCCCATAGTGGTAACGTGGTGTGTAGCACTGATGCAGCGCAGACTCTGCTCATCCAGAACTTCTGAGGAGCTGGAGTACTGGTCAGAGTCCAGCTCCCACCATAGCCCTTCCCTGGGTTTTTCTCCCTCCTGTCTCCCTGTCTCCCAGCCCCTTCTCCCCTGCACAACATGGACCAAGGGATCTGCAACACAAACTGTTGGAAAAGGCTCCAAGTTGGGCAGAGGTGGGCTCAGCCCTCCTTGCTTGGCAGGTGGTGGCACCTCGCAGGAGTGCCTGCCTGCCTCCCTGCCTGCTCCCTGCCTGCTCCCTGCCTGCTCCCTCCCTGCCTCCCTCCCTCCCTGTCTGCTCCCTGCCTGCTCCCTCCCTGCCTGCTCCCTCCCTGCCTGCTCCCTGCCTGCCTGCCTGCACTGCCGGTTGGAGTTTTGAGGTGCTGTAAATAAACCTGCCCGAGCAGCTCTGCCACAGCGCCGGTGCTTTGGCTGGTTTATGGGTCACCAGATGTTCCTGCCAGAGGGATGCAATGTGTGCACTCCGTAATGGGTTCAGAGCAATCACTCCACTGAGTAACAACCCTGCACAAATTCTCTGTGTTAAGCATGGATCAAAGGTATAATATATGTGTCTCCCTAGGCAGTCAAGTCCTAATTCCACCTTCTGCTGAAGTAGCCTAATTTAGTGTATAAGCTTTTCTGTACAGCCAACCTCTGTACACTAAGCTGGGACATGGACCTACTGAATGCACAGATTTGGTGATGAGAGGTTCTTTTGTTCTTTTGCCCTTGTAATTACATACTGTCTAAGCACTTGCATTTTGCTTTTTAACATCTTTGGGGAGGCGGTTTTTATTTTTTATTCTTGTCATCCCTAGTATTTTCAATATCCTGACAAACGCTCAATCCTTCATTGACTCATGTGTGAGATGAATGCTTCCAATGCCTCCTGTGGAGGGCAGTTCCATGGTTTATGTGTTGTGTCGAGACTGATTTCTTCAAATCACTCATAAATTATCGATTCGCATTCCTGTCATGTGCCCCCAGCAGGTAGCTGTTACAATGGTGCTGGTTACATCAGCCCCAGTGCTACACCCAGTGCCGGTCAGCAAACCCGCGGTTGAAATACCGCTGCAACACAACAAAGAAGCAAAACTGCATGAGCAAGGAATTCATTAAGCTTTTGTATTTTCATGGAAATCTGATGCTATTTCATCTAATCAAAGATTGTACTTTTTTCCCCAAAAGTCTTATGTCTCAATCTATAACTGACACACTGTGAAATATCTGAAATCCACTCGAAAGCCCATGGGATCATTGCTGAATTCCACAGCCTTTTAACATATGCAATTACACTAAGATACACAGAAATTACTGTCGTCATTTTTTTTTGTTTTTTTGTTTTTTCCACAGGCTTTTCTGCTAGGTCTGTGGAAGACATATTTGCACCAAGTGGAGAATTTTAATTCTCACCCATAAGACTGTTCATTTTTGCCACTAACTTTTATGATTGCAGTTTCACGGGCTATGTATGCACCCAATACTGTGACTTAACCGTTTCCAGATTTTTCTAGTTTTTTACTTTAAAAAAAATAGGAAAAAATAATGTTGTGAAAAAATCGTTACAGTTGCTTCTAACTGTAACTAGCGTAAGTCTCCAGAAATTGGCTTTTGAAATATTTCTCCGAGATGCTCTAAGCGCTGGAAATAGCCCTCTCCATTGAACTCTAGTTCAGTATAGTTTCTAAAGCTCAACATCTGCATCTGCAGACAGACCTGGCACTGACCTTGCTGCTGCTTGCCCTGTTGTTCCTCCTTTGTTCTCTGCATCACCTTCATTTATTGGCATATGGGCTGATAATTCCTGGGCTGCTCTCTGGCCCATCAGCTTTAAGCTATGTCCCCCAGGTGAAATGAGCCCAAACAAGTTGGGAGAGACTGTTCAAATCTGTTCCACACAGACTGAGAGGAACGAAAAGGAAAGCCAGCATTCATCATTCAAAAGATAAACATTTGACAGCACAGCTTGACTATGTCAGGAACACTTCTGTTTTAATAGTACGCCTGCAAGCTTTCAAAACAAGTGTTTACCTGTCACAATAAACAGTTATGAGTGAAGTACACAAAACACACTAAACTTGGAGCTGGCAAGCTTCCAGAAATGCCATGTGCAGTTAAACTCTTGAGCTTGTCATTCCATCCAACATAAATCTCTTCAGTTGTCTTCTGTCTTCTTCAGTGTATACTGTGGGACTTTTCTGATTGCCTTGGAGACATCTGTCTCGGATGCATACAAAATCCTGGGAAGTGTAGTAAGCGCCTGGAGTTGACAGGCACATTAAGACCTAACTCTTACACAGCTGCAATTAAGTCACTAATGGCTCCTGGTGAGACTGGGTGTCTTATTTTGCTCCCCTGAAAGCAAATCGGTATCTACACAAGAGGTGCTTTTAGTGGAGCAGATGGGGGCAAATGGCTCAACTTAGGTGTTGGAGCAGCCCCCCACTTTTGGATCTTCTGGTGACTTCAGAGGAATGAAGAGTCTGATCTAGTGGACAGCCTGGCCTAGGTTTGAGTCTGACATGAGAGAGAAGGTCATAAGTTTGCTTGGCTGGAGTTTTCTTTGACCATGCCAAACAATGAGAATTCCCACTTTTTCAGAGATGTTATTTCACTTTGTAGGAATTCCTGCCAAGTCTAACGCTGTGCAGCACACTGGAAAAATAGCTAAAGTCAATAAATACAGCCCATAAAAATAAAGTCTGGCACAACGTTTGCACAGGAAACAATTACGTCTTGGTTTCGTTTTTTTGCTGGCTTTTTAAAAAGCCATTTCAATAGCTTAAAGAAAGGCTAAGAGAGCAAGAGGAATTTCCTCCTGTATATGCATTTTAATGTGATGTTTCACTTTTTTGTTTTAGAGTGAAGTATAGGTCAGCCTCAGCTTGCCAGGTAGCGTGGTCTGACCAGAATGCACCGGTTAAAATGTCTGTGTTCTGCTCTTCTGCTGGGGGAGCAACAGTTGAAATAGGAATCTCAGGCCTGGGTTTCCTGGGTTTGGGGTTTGTCTCTTGTGTTGTGTAAAACATTTGCAAATCATGATAATACTGCTTGTATGGGGAACAGTTCTCAAGATAGCGTAGTCAGTTCTACAAAGCTTTTCAAGGCTGCATGGGATATATTTCATGGGCTTTGGTGAGCCTTTTTTCAAGAAATTGCTGGCCAGTTGTGGAACTGCTGGTCTGAAACAAAGACTCACACCACCATCTCCCATCTGAGCACTCACTCGGGACCTCAGTGCAAGTCATCACATCTCCTGACTTCCAGGTGAGCACTGTAAGCACCAGACAGTTGGTTTTCTCCCATGTCCTGTGTAGCTTCTCACAATAGCAGTCCTTCTTTCCCTAACATGAGTCCTTGGGCACTCTCAATTCAAAGGAGACACACTCCAGGCTGCTGCTGAGCAGACCCTTGCTCTCGCCTCTCCCATAGTCATTGTGGGTGGCCTTCTCCCTTGACTCCCATGCAACATTTCAAAAGGCCTCATTTTTGTTCCAATGCAGAATGTAAAAGGCTTTCAACATCTCCATTAAAAAACAAAAATTCCAGCGTTTGTGCTCCCCATTTTCCTTCCAAGAGCACAGTGAGAAAAGAGAAGGTCTGCCCTTGTTCAGTCCTGGCAAGTCCAATCTAGAGCTGTGTAAAAATGCGTCTAAAAAAAGGACCTTTCTTCCAATAAATGGCCATTTAATGAATAAAAGAGAAACAATTGAAGTCTGCAGTAATAGAACAATTATGTGCTGTTGTGCGTTCCAGCTGGCTACACATTGAACAGTTCTTACAAATTGCCGGAAACACAGCAGCACACGGATCCGATACGTTTCAGGACAGTCATTATTAAGAAGAAATACCATGTGTCAATCTGCCGAAGCCCTCCAAGGGCATTATCCTCCTAAAATCCCTTAATTACTGCTCTGGGGCTCACGTGTGTGCCTGGCCTACAGTGTGGATGAGAGGGAGAGTGCTGGAAGCAGTAACCCCGGTGTGATGTTCATTAACTTTCTCAGTCTCTGCTCTTTCCTCTGCTGAGCAGCAGAGGGAAGAAGGCTGGTGAGGGAGGTTGGAAGGAGGCAAAGAGACCCAAGGTCTGAATAGCGATGGTGGAACAGGTAGGAAAATCAGAGTAGCAGAAGTACAGAACTGAAGTAGAAGGGGAAATGTAAATACACAGAAAGGACAAAAAGAAAAGAAAAAAGGTGAGGAAGACAAAACAGCCAGTGGAGGCTGTGACTGTGAGCCCCACATGCTTGCTCCTCACAGACATTTCTTTGATATTTACTGATATTGGCAATGGGAAAGATGAAAATGGCACTGGAAGTCAGCTCTGTGTGTGCAGACCATGCTAGTTATCAAAGCAAATTGTGTGCCAGTGTCATCAGTCAGAGGTTTGGGGTCGGGGTTGGTCCCTTTGGAGCCTCCAAAGAGTAACTGGATCAGATTTGCACCCAGCAATGTGTAGTGCTGCTCTAAAACAGTGTGATTCTGAGCAAGTTGCTAAATCTCTGCTGATTCACTTGTCCTTCAGATTCAGGGTTTTAATCAATGTTTCAGTGATAACTGCCCCATTTGATGAGCATTTTTGGATGCACAAATAGGAGAAAGTGTGTCACGGGGGTTGTGGTTTGGAAACGGCAAGAGGGCTTCAGGGTCCTGCGAGGTCCTGGCCATCGCACTTGGCTGATTTCATAATGATCTTTGGTTACTCGAAAACCAGTAAGGTCATGAGGGGCATTTAGAGCTGGCGAGTGCTGATTAAACATGATATAAACACCTCTGCCGTGTTACATCTGTGGAAAGAATTTAAATGTCTGAAGAGCAGAGGAGTAGGGATTAACGAGCTGTGAAGGAAGGAGATGTATTTAAGGTGTTTGTGAATAGGGAAAGGAAGAAGTTCCTGCTCTGTATTTAAGATATTAAAGCTACTTTGCAGGTCTTTTTTTTTTTTTTTTTTTTTTTTTTTTTTTTAAGAAAGCCTGAAAGCCCCCGCAGTTCTGAGTACTTGTCAGGGATGTAATGATGGAAATCTTGTCAGCCTCGCTTTGCATAATAGGGATCATTATGTGATGGTAAATTTCTCTGTATGTTCCCTACGTTCCTAATGTGGGAGGAATAAAAAATTCCTGAGGTTTCTTTTGCAGAGCTTGTCAATGAACGTGTTGGATCAGATTGTCTTCTCGTTTATTAGCAGGAAAAGCGAAGATGACTTTATGCAAGCACAACAGGAGAAAATCACTGTGCCGGGAGAACCAGGCTTATTGCTTCAAATCCTACCAGCCTGACAGGTACTGCTTTCTCGCACCAGCTGCATTTTAGGTTCCTGTTGGGAAGCTCTGCTGCATCCCTGAGCTCCTCAAGTCCTGCTGGGCAGCACCGGCCCAGCTGCCCCCGGCAGACTGTTGGTGGGTTTTGTCCCGCTCCCTGCCCGCCTCCAGGTCAGAACTGGGGCTGAGGGCGTGGGCAAGCAATTGCCTGGATTAATTGTCCTGAGAGGCTGCAGAGGCCGTAGCTCATCGTTCCAGTGCTGCTGCTTTAGGAGTGTCTAAACACTGCAGAAATCCGGCCTGGGAATGTAAGTCATGGGTTTGTTGGTTTTTTTTTCAGAGGCTCCTCCGAGACTTTTTGAGGAGGTGGGAGTGTCCCATACACCTGTGAAGAGCAGACCACTAAGTCCTAACTTGGGCTCACCCAAACCATAACTGCCTCCTTGAGTAAAAATAAGTCAACTAGCTAATAATAATAGTAGCTAGGAATTTGAGAGGAGCTTATCTGATTTTAACAACTGGCTCCCTTCTGCTCCTCTGTAAATCTCAGTGAGAAATACACGAGGAGGAGTGTTAGCCAGTACTTTGCAAAGGAAGGTTAAGCTATTGGCAGTCTGCAGAGGGCAAATAGATGCCTAAAGTGGCTACATGGCTCACCTGGAGCTGCAGAGGGCCAGGGGCGCATCCCGGTCCTGCCCTCGGTGTCCTGCCACGCTCTCGCTTCCATCCGAGTTGTTCGACTTCAAGAACCGCCGCTGTCTGATAATGCTGCGGGAGGCTGCCCTGCAGCCCTAGGACACGTTTGGGTACCTGGAGCTGAGAGCTGAGCTAAATGGCATTCAACAGTAAAGTTAGTAGTTGTTGGAATAAATTATGCTTTCCAACAGGCAAGGCAATGTGTCCTTTCGCATGCAGTAAGTAGGTATTTGTTCAAAACAATTAGACTTCTTAGCCTAATTTAGTACTTAATCAATTTATGTGGTTAGCTAAAGTACCTGCATATGCCCTTAATAAGTAGTGACACCCTTTTCCTACAGCACTGCTATGTGCTTACAGAGAAATTACATTTTTAATTATGCCACACAACCCTAATGGAAAATCTAATTATGACAGTGGTATTTTTCAACCTTTGTACAAATAGTGTATTTTTTGAAATGCAGTTGCAAGTGTTGGCTCTGCTGTAGGACTTTAGAAGAAGAAATGGATTCAGCTCAGAGTTTGTACCATGCTTCACTTTATTAATTATTAATCGCTGCTATGTATTATTTGTATGCTGTCATAAATGTCCTGGTAGTTGATGCAGTAAACCAGGCAAATGGGAGTCCTTGCTCAAAAGATTCTCACTGGTCTAAACCAAACACTTCTGTAAGTGGTGAAAATACTGAAGCTGCTTCTCAGGGATTTGTGCCTTGTCTTTTGATTCTCTGATGTCTAATGTGGTGTGAACTCTGATTGAAATGTTTTGCATGGATTAGGAAGTTCACAGGTTTTCTTCATGCCTAATTAAGATTCGACTCATGTTGAAGCCTCTTTCTCCACAGGGACAGTGTACAAATAATTTAGACTGGGACCTTGCTCCTTCCTTCTCCTCCCAGGTGACCAGGTTCTCACAAGCTTTACATGGCCGTGGTCTCTCTAGTAGCTCCAATCCACCAGAGTGTTTATAAGCAGATTGTGTGGAGCAGAACCCACCCCTCCTCTCAGGTTTTCCTCTTTGTGAGCTCCAGACAGCCCCAGTGATGTCTGTGAGAGCTGGCCAGAACTTTTTGCAAAGTCGGCAATATTTATGGTGCTTTAAAACAGCATGAGCTGTCTTAGTTTGGTTGTTGTTTATTCAAAAAGAGAAGATGGGATTCTGAGTGCTACTCAGGGTTGATCTAGGGCTGCTTCTACTCAATACCCAGCATGAGCATCGTCAGGGATGGAGTTAGGACAACTGAGCCCTTCTGCACACCTAATCCCTTCTGCAGATGGACTTGCCCTGGGGAGGAGGAGCCCTACAGTCGCTCCTCCTGAGCCACACAGCTCGCTGGCAGTGGCCCAGATTTGCTGTGAGTAGCTATCAATGTAATTGATTACAACAGACCAAACCCCTGAGCTTTTCAAAAGACTTGACTTCATTGTCTAAAAAGTCGGTCAGGTTCTTCATTACCATCTAGTTCATATCCAAATGTGTACAGACAACCTTTTGTTCATAAAATGAGGGCAAGCTCTCTGGTCATTCTCTCTCCGTGGTTTGAAACATCTGGCAGGCAGGGATTTTCCCTCCCTGTGCCTGCATACATCAGGCACTGTAGGTGCTCCTCTGAGTTATTGTAGTGTTACTGGGCATTATCAGAGTACAGCAGGGAGGAAGGGCATGGATGCCACACGCACAAGTTGAAATTCATCCCAACAAATGAAAGCCTGAAAGCCTGCCAGGATTGCAGGGAAATGAAGCACCCTGTCGATGGGAACAGAGTTCTGCGGCAGTGGGGCAAGATGAGCTTCTCAGGCCAAATTCTTGGTGCCTTTGAATTCCTCCCACAGAAGTGCCTGGACAAGAAAATGGTACTCTAAAGGTGATCTGCTTCTGAGGATCCTTTTCAGAGCAGAGCTAGAGCACCAGGGTATTTTCAACTAATGTTTTTACTTGTCAGTGGAACAAGTGTGCCCTGAAACCTGACTTGGCCAGATGTGTCCTGGGTGTGCTGCCCCCTGCCCTTTGTATCACCAGGACGATACATTTAACAGGGCCCATCTCACTTTCCTGGTTTACTGTGTGATGGATCAGAAGCAAAACATGTTGCTCTGAGCTCAAATTTCTTCTTGGTTCCTTTAAAACTGTTTGTTCTGCTTGGCTGCTTTGTGGCTACTAACAGATAATGTTATGGGAAGGACTGTAAAACCTTATCACTGGAGAACACTGAAAATGTGAATGTCTATTAGTGTGTAGAGTCTCTTTTTCTGCAAACTTTAAAACATATTGCACAACTGCAACCTCTTCTGCCATCGCAAGTACTCTGCCTAGGCCAGATGTGATCACCTTGTGTTATGTGTTGCCATATGAGCTGGAAAGCAGCTAAAAGCATCCTGTAGTCTCCCTTCTTCCTCATTGCTTTAATCACAGACATCTACATCTTCCTAGACATTCCCAGCAGTCCAAGGGTGATGTATTAAAAATGAATGAAAGGCAGCAAGGTAAGAGGGATAGTGCCAAGCTAAAGCTGACCATCTGTCCTCTGTCACTGAAAATGAAAAGCCAGTTTCAGGTGGGAACTAAGGGACCTTGATGGCTAGTGTGGCTTCAGAGCTAATGGCAGTGCCTACTGCCCCGCAGGCAGGAGACTGTCAGGCAGAAATTTAGTTGGAAATTATTTTAGTATTTCCCAGGCTATTTTGGTTTGCTTCGGCCTAATCCACCTTTTGTATTTTTATTCTTTGGCTCACAGAGGTAACTACAGCCCTGCGTTGTCTTGCTGAAAGTACTGGTGCCAGGATGAGGCAATTTTCTTTTAGCAGATACATCCCCAAAGCTTTCAAAGTGCCTGAGATTATGGAAGATACCCTGCCTGTGCAACTTAATTGGACTACTGGGCTAAGACTGCTGCAAAGATATCCCTGTTAAGATATTAACTGATAGAAGCTCACACAGATTAAATTTTATTGTTGAATTATGATGATCAGAGCAGTCCCATCAGGTAAAACTGCAGAGAACAGGTTTACTAATACGTAGTGCAGAGCAATCCTTCATTTCTCATCTCTGTGAAAAGCCTGGAGCACAGCAGATTGCTGTTGGAGGGTCCTGCCTGAGAGGCTACCAAATAGCAGCCTGCCATTACATTTCACCATCACATTTGTTAAACTGCAGGACAGCATTAGACTGGCCTGCCATTTACATCAGTTAGAGGTGAAAATACCACAGAGCGCTTTGAAGACATGCTGGGGAAGAACTAGAAAATGCCTCAGAAATAATGGCTTCCTCTACAACCCTCATTTTCACAGTGGTTGCAGAGTAAATCTCTGTCTTTGCTGGCCTCTGCCTCACAGCCCCGTTCTGGTGTGCGCTCAGAAGTGTCGATTCATACCCAGCCTCTCACAAAATTAGCTAATGCCTTTTAGCTGAATATTATCCCAATTTTAAGCCCATTAGGTGACAAGAGGATTCAATGTCGAGCAAATGAAATGTTTTAGAGCGTGCCTAGGTGCCTGGGAGGGAGATCAGACAGCAGATTGAGAGGGAGAATGGGAGACACGAGGCAGCCAGCCAGGATCACAAACGCTTTTCAAACCCCCAACACCTGTAGCTCATAGTTCAGGCCTTTCTGTTTCTCTTCCAAAATCCTGTCCACTTCCCCCTGAAGCACGCTTTGTTTTGAGTAAAAAGAAAAAGAAACCCAAACATAGCCAAATCTTTATAACTCTCTGGCATGTTATGAATTAATTTTCCCACCCTTGAGATAAAAGCACTATTTGCATGAACATGAGCAAAATCAGATTAAGGAAAGATTTCCAAAGCTGGGGACTGGGCAGGGGCAGTCTGCCTGGGAGACCCAGGAGCATCTCTGGATTGGCCCTTTCTAATGACCGTCCAGCCCTTTTGCCACTGACAGATTCTCAGCAATTCCTTTGCTCTCTCTGGGGTATCAGGAGTAAGAGAAATCACCCTATTGTGGGCAGGGGCAGCGCAGGGTGTGTTACAGCTCCAGCACATCACCTGTTTGTGTGCAGCAAGGCTGACCCGTGCTGTGGCAGTTCAGTAAGAGCTCATTCGGACCCCACCATGTCTGCCTATCATTTTCCACAAATAAGGAGCATGTATCAGTAACAGCAGTGTCCTGAACACTGCTCCTACCTAAGGGTCGAGGGGGTTAAGCCAGGCAACAGCCAGACCCACACCTTCCTCATGCAGCCCAGTGCAGAAAACCAGTGGGTCCCTACACTCTATAAACCAGCCTCACTCCTACCCAGGTACGGGAAAACTCATCACAGTTTGGAGTGGGCACATGTGCGGTCAGGCTGGGAACGAGGTGCAGGTTTGAGCAGGGCCATGACACCTACCTGGAGGGAAAAATCAGGGAAATGGACATTCCTTTTCATGCAGGTACAGCTTTTTTTCTTATTCTTGATGTCGTGTGAAGAGCAAAGGGATCACTGTAGATCCGTGAAGGCAGTCTGAGCAAACAGCCTTGTTTGTGGGAGAGATCCTATGAAGGGTGAGTGAGCAAGGCTTCATACAGCACGTAGCACCCCTTCATGCCAGGCTCAAGAGCTGTATCTGTCTGGTTTGGTGGGCAGCAGCGTGTGCTGAGCTGGCGGGGCAGGAGCATCAGCAGCGCCGTGCTTTGGGCATCCCACGCCCGAGAGCAGCCCCGGGGAGGCTGTGCGGAGCAGAGGGCTCTTCCCTGCTGAAGGGAGACAATGGGAATCCACCCAGTTTTGTTGAAGGAAACAAACTGAATGTATAGGCAATCAATGATGTCCTCTGTGTCCGCATATTTATGAAAAGTGCCTGTTACATGTTAGCACAGTCCTAGATGAAAGTGGAGCAGAAATCCTACAGGAGAGGGCTTGCAGGAGGAAGGGGGGGTATACCAAAAACCTTGGATGAAGTCCAATATTCAAGCAATAAGACCTTAAGAAGCAGGCATCATTATAAGATAATTGACTGTGGAGAGCAGTCACACATTCCAAGGTGAAGCATAGGGCACTTAACATATCAATAAGGTCAATTATCTGATTATGTCAGCTGCCTTAGTGCTGTTATTAACCTATATTGCTCTTATTAACCTTTCTGATGAAGAATCTTTCAAAAATAATTATATTAAAGTACAAATCTCTCAAGTTTAAAATATGTGAATGTTCCATTTCAGTAGTCGTGTGTCATAGGATAATGAACATCTGATTGCCTGGCTGACACAATGAGGTTTTTAATCAGGCTCCCTTTCCTAGGATCAGCGTGTTAGCTCTGACAGCCTTCCCTGGGCCCAGGCAGTCTCATGAAAGCACTGCTGTCATGTTACGAATGGCGGGATTTAAAATTGAAATGTGAGCAAATAAGACAAGAAATGTAACGGATATGCTGAGGAGAGGGGTCCTGGGAAAATACCCACTGAAAGCCTCTTCAGTCAATTCCAATTATTAAAGCATACAGCTGATTCAATTAGTGGCTATGTACTTGTGCATATAGTATATACTACCTAGCAGAGCCGATCAAAGGGGAACACACTGCTCATGAAAATTTGTTCATATTCATTTTGTCCTTTTTTTTTTCCCCATACTGCAGAGCATTTTGAAGTAGGAAGGCATTTTGCCATAACTTTCAGCCATTCTTTCATCTATCGGGGAATGTGAGTGTTCTAATTTCTACTGGGGATTACTAATTCATTACATGCTTTTGGCAAAACCAATGCAAATTCTGCTCATTACAAGTTCTGATCACTGTTCTGTTTCTGTGTATGTATCTGTACAATAGGCGAAATGTCATTTCATACAATGTGGCTACCTGATAGCAAAAGCAAGGGTGTTATTTTGACCTGTCATTTGTTGCCATGCTTGCGCTTTTACGTGGTTTCATTTTTAGATGACCACACTGAGCATCCTTTAAAGATACCTTATTTAACTCCTGGAATTCATCACCAATTTAAAATCACTGGACATTTTTAAAAGTTTAGGTTAAGATATTCATATATCCATTTTGGGCTGACATGTTTCTCCAGGTGGAAGAGGTATGTCTGATCTCCCTCTTGACATCCAAGTGAATTCCTTTGCTAGTAGAAAACTGAGTGGGAGAACCACATGAAAAGCTACAGCTGAAAAATTCTCCTTCCATGAAATTCCCATTCATTATCTTCCCCAGTTTGCTCACTTTGCCAAGTCCACCACTGTCAGCACAATACATCTGGTACTTGGGAAGGACAAGTATTTCTGTAGTCACTCCACATCTTGCCTTCCTCCTTTATAAAAAATAAGATGATGAAAGCTTATTTCCTTGTTTCCAAGTCCTAGTCAGGAGATCCTGATTTACGTCTTGTGTGTTGGGAATACTAAAGATGAATCTTATTATTCAGGATGAGTCCCTATAAAGTCACCTCCTTGCTCCCCCACTGTGAGAATATGGTTCTCTGACAGACCTCAAACCGCCGCAAATTCCAGGCACTTTTGTGACCATCATGAGCCACAGCTCCTGGCTCAGGTAGTGAGTTTGATGTTTTGGTGCCGATGAACATCTCTCCTGCACATCTTTTACATTTCTTCTAGTGGGATGAGGTGCATCTATCTGTGCCACACACACACAGATGTTCGTAGTCATCTTCCTATTTGTAATTCTACTCGAGACAGTCGAGAAGTAAACATTTGTGCCAGGAGTATTATGTATGGCTCTGCTGATTTTTTGCAAAACTCTTTTTAAAGTCTGCAGTGAGCACTGTGCTTCTGCAATGTTCTGGGAGTAATATGAACTATTAGTACTGCATTGAAAATCAAAGTCTGCTGGGAATATTTCAGAGGTAAGTAGAGGGCAATTATCTCAGGGAACACTCTGTCTTGCAAATATGGCCTCTAAGCCAATTCAGTGTATCTGGAGAGGCTGTTGCCCACAGTGAGAAATGTACGTCCCTTCCAAGAAAACAGTATCTGCTTTTACCTCCCACTAAGGTGTCAGAGCTACAGTGAGAGTAAATGTTTGGGTAGTTTTTCCCTCATTAGCCTTCCACTGGGGTTGGAATTGGCTTAGCCAGACCACACCGTTAGGAAATTTTTTGTACCTGTGATCCGAATTTGTTTCTGCCTCATGGAGAGCATTTCTTTCTGAGGCTTTAAAGATGAGAGTGTATCATGGTTTCAGAAGTGGGTCCTCAGCCCTGGGAAAGCCTTGTCAGTCCTCACAGCCTGGTAACATCGGCTGGAAGTTGATGCCATCAGCCCACACACTGGCAAAGTCTCTCCCTTTTTCATCTCTGGTTTTCTGAAGACAACTAGGCGATGTTGGGATTGCTGTCAGGACAAGTTCAACATCAACTGTAATATCTCTTTCTGAAGATTTTTCTTCTTTTAATCATTGGTTTTGACATCATTTGTATTTAAGTGATCTCTCTGGTTTGTGAATAATGTCAAAAGAAAGCTGTATCAGACAAGAGGTGAAATCTTTGATTACAAGACAGATATCCAGTGGTCTGAGACCAGCTAGTGCTGCTGTGGGATTGAGTTTGCTTCTAAGCTTTCAGATGCTGGTGGCAACACCGGACTGGCCTCCGCCAGTGGTGACACTTCACCGGACCCAAGTGGGGTTGGATACACAAACACAACACACACAAAGATGATCACAAGGCTTTTATTACCTCAGCATCCCAGTGAGGGTTCCCCAGCAAGTACCAGAGCAAAGTAAACAGCACATAGAGTGATGGTCCAGGGCGAGGAACAATGGGCGATGAAGATTTTATGTAAAAATGCATATGCACAGTAAATCTGGGTGACGCGATGGCTGGTGGAGAGCCTTGCAGGTGGACACATATGAGGAAACCCAGCCAAGGACAACATAAGCATCAATATGCTACAGTGTGAACCAGACATCTCTGCTGCCTGAACTAAGCATAAAGGGATTTATTATAAAGAATCTGGGAAATGGCTGTACCGACCTCCATCACCCATCTCCTCGCCATTCTTCCGCATGTAACTGTACATAAGGTAAAATCCAAGTGAAGCAATTTGCAGGCCTGAAAGCTTATTCAACTTCATTTCCCACATATTACTTCCTGTTTTCTGATGGGTGAGTGAGAGGGATCTGTCAAAAATGTGCGGCTGCTTGTCATTTTGAGGATATTGGATGGTCAAGGACCAATGAGTATGTACAAACTGGTAACTGGCCAGTTGGAGGAAATCTGTACAGAGGAATTGTTGAGCCCTAGGAGATCCTTACAAAGGTAGATCTGGATATTGTCACATTTGTGTACTAATTTATGTTTTCCTATTTCTAGAGAATATCATCCAAACAGTTCTTCTTTTGCATTTATCAGCAAGGAGAGAAGTTTGTAGCATGGTGGAGGGAATGAAGCAAAAGAAAATACTTTAAGTCAGATATTCTTTTCTATGTTCCCAGTCCTGTGAAAATCTGTGCAAGAATTATCAAAATGGTATTTTCCTTTTTTCCCTCTCCAGTGCAGAACTTCACTTTACCAACAGCTTTTAATTCTTTTATCTTTATATTATTCAGGGATTTGGTGAAAACCTTCCTGTTACTTCTTCAGTTTTTCAGGACTCTAGCCATCACTTGCAGCATCCTGTAACTAAGTCTTGGAGAATCTTGTCTGGTCTTCAGAGATTTCTAGCCTGTTTCTCATTATAGTCTGTAATAATGCATCTTGCTCCAATATTTTACACTTCAACCATTTAGATTTGTGTTTCTGAATCAAGGCAGCACTTATTCCCCTGAAGCCATGGGACCTAGATGTGTGAACTTTCCTGATGACAACAGAACTATCAAGTGCACTAGCTAATACCTTGCCCTCAGTGATGCTATAGCTGATATTCTCCCATATCCTCTAGGCCCTTAGTGAAGAATAAAACAAAGTGTATGATAAGCTCATATATGAAAGAATCTTGATACTCCTGCAGAAGGCAGAGGGAATATTGTGTATGAAAAGCCCTAACTTAATAAGAGACACCAGAAGAAATAGAGAAATAGAAAGCATTTAGGATTGCTTAAATTTCTGATTCCTTCAAGATCAGCTTCCCAAGTTACCAAATTCAACTTCTTCTGCTAATTGTAGCTATCTGTGCTACAGCTTCCAAAATGTACAGGGTAGAGGAATATGTTCTTCACTCCCTCTCCCTCTCCCTCTCCCTCTCCCTCTCCCTCTCCCTCTC